CTTGTTGCTAATTTGGTTCAAAGCTGAGTTTTGAATTTGGAAAGAGTGACTGATGAGAATTTTGCTTCATTTGTTTGACAAACTTCATTTTCAAATCTAATTTCCATTTTTTCCCTAGATTGTTTAGTTGTATAGAATTTAAATAGATTTCAAAAGTGGCCAAATTAGTGTCAGTAAACTTTGATCATGCAAAAATTAATTCGGTAAAATTGTATAAGAATTGAAAGCAATGTTGTATTTCAAGAAGGCAAAGCTTGTGTATGTCAACATGGATAGAATAAGCCATAAGATATAAACCAGAAACTATTCATGTTTACCTTTTCTTACTCTATTGCTATTTTAACCTTTATAATCAGTTATAGACTAGTGGTAAATAAAATTTTCAGTGGCTTACCAAAAAAAGTTCAAGGCATATCAAAACCATGAAATTCTATACAGCTAAACAATCTAGGGAAGAAAATGGAAATTAGATTTGAAAATTAAGTTTGTCAAACAAATGAAGCAAAATTTTCATCAGTCACTCCTTCCAAATTCAAAACTTAGTTTTGAACCAAATTAGCAACAAAAGGAAAAAGGAAAAAAAAAATTCAAATGAAAATTAGAAAAAACATTTAGCTGAGCATCTGAGCCGATGATATCTTTAACAGGATATATAAAAATAAGGTAGCAAGGTAACTTACAAGTTCTCAGGCTTCAAAATTTCTTGGTGAAGAATTATGCAAGAAATTGTTGTGCAAGAATATATAAAATGATTCAAAAGATATTTTATGGTGATAAATAGTATCAAATGATAGCTTAAAAATGGCTAAGAAAAGATTATGCATTGCGTGTTCCGTATGATATAATAAATGGATTCTGTTTAGACAAACATTCTGTTAATAGTAGAAATAATATAGTCTAGAAGACCAGATACAAGAAGAATAAATGTTAAACCCTTACATATTAAGAGCTCTCAGCATTAAATAGTTACATCATAGAATAGTACATTTTATTTTATGTTAATGCCACATATGCTATGAGGCAACAATTAAAAACTTTACTTCTGTGCAATTGAGTTGAAAAACATAAAATGTTTTAACTTACCATATCCCATGATGCACATAACTACGGTTGCAATGACCAGAAAGATCATGGCTATCAAATGTAATAAGCTGAAAAATAAATAAATATGGGAATAAAAGATAGAAAATAAGAGATCTATATCATACAAAAATGCGAACTCACAAGTATTAATAGAAAAGTCAAAAACCTATCCCTTCAAATAACGATTACCAGTCTCTGGTACAAACATATCCAAACCTAAACTTGAAAATTTCATCCAATAATCTTGGCACACAATCAACTTAAATGAACTAGAGGAGCTAGGTTGCACCACATCTCTACCATGACTGTAAAGCTTTTTTTCAATAATCTTTGCCAATAAATCATGGTTCCATACTTTGCCAAAACCATAATGACATCAAAAATCTTATTACAAAGTGAATTCCTTTTAAGTCATTTTATCAATTAATAGGTAGATCCAAGATTAGTTGATACTGGTGCTATAAACAGTTAAACAAATTTTAATTTTTTAGTTACAGCTAAAAAAAATCAATTTTTTGGCTTTGAACACCCCAAATTCTAAATATAAGGGTCCAAAAACTAAAATAAAGAGACTTAGAGGATAACTTGTAAATTCAGGTGGTCCAAAACTTTCACTTGTTGAAGTTGAACCTGCATTTACAAATTTAAAACAATTAAAAACACCATAAACTATGATAAATAAAGTTAAAAATAGTAAGAAAGATAAGAGACATAAGGTTGTCATGTAGCTAGATAAAAATAGGATCAGGTTGTTGCAGGCATTACAACACATAGATTACTTAAACAGTTAAACTCTAATTAAGCTAGCATGATAATAAAAACACCTTGTGAACTACATAAGCAAGATAGAGCTCATATTTTCTAATGCTTCCCATGCCATATGCATTACCTGTATAAAAAAAATGAAGAATAATAACAAATTCCATTCACATAATCACGTGGGTGGGGAAAGAGGAACCATTTTTAGTAGAACGCATGACAAGGTTTTTGTTTTTGACCCTTGCCATATTTTTTTCCCTTTTGATAGAACATAAAAGGTGGTTGGGCAGATAATCCGTGATAATACCAAAAAAATTCCCACTTGGCAAAGGAAAATGGATTAACCACCATAAGCGAAAAGAGAAAAAATGAGAATGGCATCTCTTCTGAAGTATATTATTATTTTTAGTACATATCCCGAGGTATTGAGTTAACTATATTACATGATTATTGCTAAATTAACATTTCTTGAAATAGCAATACGAAAAAAGTAGCAAGTTAAAAAGATTGGTTTTCAATAAACCTTTTTCAAATAACTCATAGTTTTAGTGATCTCTTAAAATATCTTTTGATGCTTAAATTCTTTGAAAGATAAGACAAACAATCTCTAGGGATACCATCATTGACCTTAAAGCCTCAGATGTAGTAATCATAATGGTATTAATAGACCAATTTGAAAATAAGAGGCATATTTTGCTTATCAACAGACTCTATAATTCTTTTGCAGTTAAGCAGCTATGATCCTATAGTTTCTCCTTTAATATAAAACCTTTTAGCAACAAAAGTAGAATTTTATGCGGATATTAAGGAAATACACAAAATCACCTAAATGAAGTTACTTTTTTTAGACATGATATAGCAATAGTCATTATCTAGTCAGATTTTACAAAGGTACCCAAAAAAGAGTCCCTTCAACCTAATCCAGGTTCTATATTAAACATTTACTTACACAGAGATGAAGGTTCACATCATTTGAAGCAAAAAAGATTTAAAAGCAAGGATTTCTAGACATAAAAAATTCTAAATAGTAAAAAGATTAGGCCACATAAAGGATGAAAATGCAATACCAACAGACAAGTATAGTAGGTAAAGATTGTGCCCTCTTAAAGTCAAGTAGCTTATTGTTGGTGACAAGAACTTGCAATAGAATACAAAAACACCACAACATCAAATTGAATTGATTCAAATAACATAAATTGCATCATAAAAGAAATCTTAACATTGAAAGCTTCATCATTTGTCAGCAAGAGCCAATTTGTTAATTGTATCACAAACAAATAATTTACAAGATAAATTATACTAATATTATGGATAAATTTACTTTACATTTGCTTATAGTTCTAACAGTTTCCATATTTCAGAAAGTAAACCTCCCAAGTGAAAAGGCTAATTCATTGTGGTAAATGAAAAAAATTAAAGAGTTTTTGAAAAGCTTACATGGATTCATTATTAGGGTCAACAACAACTAGTAAGATATTTCTCCTGTGAAAAATCAGACCTGGTTTCAACTTTCAATGGGTAAATAAACATTGACCGAAACATTATTATAAAAAAATTGTAAAAAAAATTGAACCAACCATTATTTAAAAATGTGTGTTTGGAGTGGAAGGAGAAGACCTTGCAAAGAGAAGCTACCTAAATGATGAAAATTGATATGATGATCAACATCCATCCCATATGCAATCAACCTTCCTAAAAAAAAGGGAGAGCGAAAAAAAAAGCCCAAGAGGAAAAAATTTCGCAATATATTAATATGACAAGACGTCAAAAAATGACAATATAATCAGGCTTTGATAGAAATACAAAATCAAAGTCCAATCACGGCCTAACCCAAAAAAGTAAATGGAATAACATAAAAACAAATTAAAAAAAAATAAAATTATCTATACATATGTATATATATATATACATACACCTATACATATAGACTCGAATGTAAATTAAAATATAATATAATATTTTAAATTATTTTAATTTAATATTTATAAAATAAAATATATTATAATTAATTAACATTTTATTTGTTGTTATCTCTAATTAAACCTCTTAAAAGTTAGATTAGTTGTCTAAACTATCTGAGTCTTAAGAAAATTTAAATAAAAAATTAAAACTCGTTAAACGAATTTGAGCATAACTTGTAAATCCATTTAAATTTGAGACCCAACTTTTGATAAAAAAAATAAATTTTGAGTTCAATCCGACCCAAACAAATTATATATAATTAAAATATTATAATTATATAAGTATACATATGTGTGAATTTTTATTTTTTATATTTTATTTTTGAAATGATTTTTAAAATTATTTATTAATAAATTAAGTTTAATGATTGAATTTAAATTTTATTTTATTAATTTGGATCAAACTTAAAAAAATTTTGAGATTTAAATTATAAGATCAAGTTTAGATAAACATATAAATTATTAATAATAAATGTGAATACGGCTTGATTTGACTTGTGAATTTTTTTATCTTTAATTAACTATAAATTTTAACTCAAGATAACTTTGATTTATACCAAATTTAAAACCAAGTGAACTTATTTTTTGTCATAATCTTTCGTAATCTTCCACTGCTATATTATGTTAGTATTTTTATTTATCTTTTTTAATCTTGCGGATTTGTTTGAACATAACATAAATTTGTCAATTGAATGATATTCTTTTTAATATAATTATGTATGAAGTGGATATTTTTATCATATAACTCCATTCTTTAACTCGAGATTTTAGTTTTTTCAAAGTAATTATTTCATTTACTGCAATTTGACAAATGACTAAACTCACTTCGTTAATGACTAACATCTACTGTTGCATAATAAATCAATTTAAAAATGAGATAACATGCTTAATAAGGAATGAGTTTTAGTTTCATAAATGTTTCTTTGCAGGAATGTGCAGACTTATTTTTTTGCTTTGTGGGCATTTATATATATATATATATATATATTGACCTAACACGTATATTTTGTTTAAAGTTGGATATGAATTTGTTTTTATTTTTTATTAATGAATCCAGTAATTAATTTATATTTTATTTATATATTAATATTAACAGTGAAATTTATTATATTTTTGTATGTCCACGAAAATTTATAATTGGTGTGTCGTTCCATAAATTGGAAAAAGGAATGAAGAATATCCTCCAATTAATTTCACAATTTTTTCCGTAAGAAATGTACATAAATAAATAAATAAATTTTAAAATTGAAATTTAAAAAAAAAATAGTTGATTACACATAAATTTCCTTGGTGAATAAATAATGATGATACTAATATTTTATTATTATAATCACAAATAAAATCATAAAATCTATAAAGATATTTCGACAGGACAAGAAAGAAGGGAAGCCGGCGCAACTATTAGGACCTAGGAGCGGCCGTTCCCCCTTCTGAGAACCAAAAACTGCAACAGCAAAGCCTTCCCTTGAGTAGTCTCCATTAGTACCAGCAGTTTTGAGGTAAGCCAAAGCGATCTCCTTTACATCTCTTATTTACAAGTATCAAAATTTTTTTACCGGTAAATCAATATCTTCAATTTCATTTAACAAGATTTGATCTTTGATATGAACTCATCAGCTCTTCTCAAAAGGCAAAAGCTCTTAAAAATCCTCAAAAACTCTTTTGTTTTCCATCAAAGTTGCCCAAAACACAGAACCCTCCAAAACCCATGTGCTCAGGTACAAAACCCTTTAAGGGTTTTATGGGTTTCTCAGTACTCATCTCAATCCACCAAGTTCCCTGAGTACGAAATGCCCTCTGTCACTTGGAGTGTTGTTCAAGGGAAAAAAGAGAAGCTGGTTAACCGTGTCAAAATATGTGATTATCTTAAAACCTTAGGAATAATCCCCGATGAATTAGAGAATCTAGAATTACCCTCTACTGTTGAGGTTATGTCTGGGCGTGTTGAGTTCTTACAGAGACTTGGATTAACTGTTGATGATATCAACGAATACCCTTTAATGCTTGGTTGTAGTGTGCGTAAAAACATGATACCTGTCTTAGGTTACTTGGAAAAAATTGGAATTCCTAAGTCGAAACTAGGCGAGTTTGTTAAGAATTATCCGCAAGTGTTGCAGGCAAGTGTGGTTGTTGAGCTTGCTCCTGTTATTAAGTTTCTTAGGGGCCTTGATGTGGAGAAGCAGGATATTGGATATGTTCTACAGAAGTACCCGGAGTTGTTGGGGTTTAAGCTTGAAGGGACAATGAGTACTTCGGTTGCTTACTTAGTGAGCATTGGAGTTAGTCCTAGAGATATTGGGCCTATGGTGACGCAATATCCATATTTTCTAGGGATGAGAGTTGGGACTGTGATTAAGCCGCTTGTGGATTACTTGGTTTCTTTGGGATTGCCGAAGAAGATTTTGGCTAGAATGTTGGAGAAACGGGCATACACACTTGGTTATGATCTTGAAGAAACTGTTAAGCCTAATGTTGATTGCTTGATTAGTTTTGGAATAAGGAGGGAAGCAATTGCTTCGGTTATAGTGCAGTATCCGCAAATTCTGGGGTTACCTTTGAAAGCTAAGTTGTCTACACTACAGTATTTCTTTAATTTGAAGCTCAAGATTGATCCAGATGGGTTTGCTCGTGTTATTGAGAAGATGCCACAGATTGCTAGCCTCAATCAAAATGTGCTTAAGAAGCCTATAGAGTTTCTTGTGGGGCGGGGACTGCCATTAGATGATGTAGCAAAGATGTTTGTGAAATGTCCCCAATTGGTTGCACTACGAATTGAGCTCATGAAGAAAAGCTATTATTACTTCAAAAGTGAGATGGGGAGGCCAGTGAAAGAGCTCGTGGAGTTTCCAGAGTACTTTACGTACAGCTTTGAATCTAGGATTAAACCTAGGTACCTTAAGTTACAAAGCAAGGGAATCCGGTGTTCATTGAATTGGTTCTTAAACTGTAGTGACCAGAGATTTGAAGAGAGATTGCAGGGTGATTATATTGAATCTGAAAGCTTGGGACCATCATTTTGCATGGGTGGGAAATTGGAGCTACCAGGAAATGACATTCTTTCAGATGAGGAATATGAGAGTGATGATGAAGTACTTTATAAATGCACTGTTTCTCTGTAGTAAATTTTTGTTCATTAAATTAATGAATTAAGTTCAATTTAATCTGCAATATCTCGTCCAAGTTTTTTGTCTTTATGTCTGTAATTCTGCTTTTAGTTGTTGTTATATTTGGATTTTATCCCTAAATTCATTGTTACACTACAATGTGTGCACAAGCGCATCCTCACTTTCCCACACTTGCATAGACTAATACAGCCATATAGACTTATCTATTTATAAAGATTGATGAAATTGGCTTCCTGTGAACTGTCTTTTGCTTTTGCAATTTGGTTTTGTAAGTTTCTGCAGAACTAAAGTACTGATGTTTAAATCAGAAAGCAGTGTTGATATTCATGGACACCCAGGTGAGCCAGCTTTAATGTGATGGAGGACTTATCTATAGCAAACTTGTGAAGCATATGAACATTCTAGTGACTGCTTTTTATACATCTATCATATTACTGTATCTTGTGACTTAAATTGTGGAATGTTTAAGTGGTTGTGGAATTCACTTTGGTAGTGTATGGTATATGGTGATCACTGTAAAAATCATGGTGATCTATAGATGGTAATGGATCGCTATGTTTGATAAGCATTTGATGATCTTACTTAGATCATCGAGAGTGATCGTATCACTGAGTTGAAGGGTGATTTAATTCCCATATAAAAGGGTGAGAAACTTTTATTATTGAGAGGGAGTAATACGTAAAATTAAAAATAGTCAATTTTACTCATTTAATATGTGAATTAAAATCTTGTTGCATCTTATAATTATAATTATTTTATATTATAAAATTTTATATTTTCAAACTAATATTTATTATAATAAGTTCAAAATAATTTGTATATATTTTTTACTTTTTTTATAAATATTTTATTATAATATAAGTTTTTAATTTTCTTTTATTATGAATTTAATAGATTGATTTCATTTTCTAATTTAAATATTTTTTTCATAATTTATATTATAAAAATAAATTTACCTGTCAATAAATATAATTATTAATTTAATAATTTAACTATATTTTATTACAAAACAAATAATATTACTAATATTTTATAATTTATTATCTTTAAACAATCATAAAATTATTAATTTATGTAACCATTATAATATATATAGTTATTTTCGTATTTTTAAATAAAATAACGTTTAATTTTTTGAATTACCAAACATAAGTGATATTTAATTTTTTAAAATTAATTATTATTAACTAAATAAAGTGATTTTAAATTACATGTATTAAGATTATTTTGGTAATAATATCACTCCGGTAATTATGTTATTATGATTATTTTGTAAAAGATATTAATCGTTGGAAACATTTCCATTTACTTGAATCAAACATAAAAGTAATATTTCTTTAACCGATTGTGACAATAATAAATCTGAAGCCATTTAAAATTAAAAAAAAATCATATTGAAGAAAATAAAACAAAATAAAAAAGTTAAAGGATGATGAACTAATATAAGAGGTATTAGCACATTTTTAAACCTTATACGTGTATTCTTCCACTTCAAACTTCTCTTTTTCCCAAAAAAGTATAATCTTTTTATCCAAGAAAAAATCCAATTTTTAACAAGAAACAAAATAGTACTACACAACTATTGTTGAAATTATAAAAAATATTGTCACAGGCGAGTGACGTTAGAAAAATAATTTTAAAAAAAAAAGCCATAATAGATAAGTATAAATATAGTCGGTTTCTCTCTTTACTTGGCACGCTTTCGCTGTTCTCTGGTTTTAAGAGAGAAAAATTTGAGATTGCTTCCAATTCAACTATTAAAACTACACTTGTTCCGATTTTCTCTCTGTTCTCTCCCGATTTCCTTCATTAGGGTTAGGTTTTTTTTTCTCTCTCTTGCTTTTTTCTATTTTTTTTTTCTTTTTGTGTTTTGCATTGCAAGAAAAAGCTAAAAATCGAGATCTTCTTTTTCCTTTTCTTTTTCAAGTAATCAGAAATTTACTCTATTATTTATATACATATTGCGTAATTTTGGGCCATTTTGTTTGCTGATGAAGCTGTAATTGATTTTATGTTTGTTTGTTTAATTTGGTTCCGTTAACGAAAAGTAAAAAAGAAAAAAAAGGAAAAACAAAATGCATAATTTTACTTTAATATAAAACAATTACTTAAGAATCGCCATTACTATTATGTGTTATATATATATATATATTGCTTTTATTTATTTTTTTACATTTTTTGGATTAATGCAAATAGAAAAATATATGGATAGCGAAATTAACAAGTCATAGGAATCTTAGGTAATTCTATTTAGATTTTCTTTATTTGTTTTATTCAATTTTACTGTAAAATGGTGGCAATTTGACATTGTGTTTAAGCTAATCTGGTATTTGGGTTGGATTCAATGTTCTAACTTTTGATGAATTTTTTTGTCTTAAATTTCATGTATAGCTGTTTTATTATGTAATTTTTCAGAATTTAGTGGTTGGAACAATAATGCTAGGGTTTAATGTGATGGATCAATTTGGTAATGTCCAAGTGATCAATCATGGTTAGTGACTTTTAATTTGAATCTTTTGGGCTGATTTTTTTATTTAGGATTCGCAGGTTTTGGCACAGAGAATGGTAGGTACAGAAAGTGTAGAAGATGGTGGTGCACATGCAGAGCCCCCTGATCCGGATATTCTTGAGATTGATCCTACTTCTAGATATATAAGGGTAATATATTTGTTTGATCAGTTTATTTTGATCTTTTTATTAACTTCTATTTGGTTGTTGTGGGAGGATGTGAAAAGGAGAGATACAAAAGTTTTCAATAATGCTTTTTAGATTCTTTGGTTTTTCATTTAAAAGAGGATGCGAATGTTGATTTCACATAGAAAAATTAGGTTATTTGTTTGTAGTTCGGTCATTCATTTGGTTTGCTTTTGTTTTCCAGATTATTTTTTTCAGTCTATTTAGATTATCTGGCTTTCGCGCATTTTTTCTATAACTAAACTAAATGTTCTGCTTTTGGCCAATATTGTTTCACCTTGTTGACTGATATGAATGCTAACAGTATAATGAAGTGCTTGGGAAAGGTGCCTTCAAGACAGTGTATCCTTTTCCTGTATTATATCTGTGGGATCGGGGTTATTATTACTTTGTTTTTGCAAGCATGCCCGTTTGTACTGTACAAAAAATTTGGTTGACATGGCAATATGCTATAAGCAGAAATAAGCAAATCATTCGTATGCTTTTCCTTAATGTTATAACCTTCAAGTTACAAGGCTTTTGATGAAGCTAATGGCATTGAAGTGGCATGGAACCAAGTTCGGATTGATGAGGTCCTACAGAAGCCAGAAGACTTGGAACGACTGTATTCTGAAGTGCGACTCTTGAAATCGTTGAAACATAGTAATATTGTAAGGTTTTACAATTCATGGATTGATGATAAAAAGAAGACTGTCAATATTATAACTGAGTTGTTCACCTCTGGAAGCCTCAGGCAGTACGTTTACTCTTCTTATCATATCTTTGCTGGAATTCCACCTTTTGTTTTATGGTGAAATTAGAATCGTGGTTAGTGTGTGTGATATGTGATTTAGGTATCGTAAGAAACATAAGAAGGTTGACTTGAAGGCTGTGAAGAGTTGGGCAAGACAGATTTTAGCAGGTTTAATTTACCTGCATAGTCATGAACCGCCAATAATACATAGGGATTTGAAGTGTGATAATATATTCATCAATGGCAACCAAGGTGAAGTTAAAATTGGTGATCTCGGGTTGGCTACTGTTTTGGAGCAGTCTAATGCCAAAAGTGTGATTGGTATATTTTCTATTTCCCTTTCTCAATAGTTTCTTTATATCGGTATGTTCATTATATGGTAGTACACCCTTTCTCTTTTTTTTGTATTTTTGTTGATCTGTCCTGGTTTTTGGCCCCCATGCTTATAGGAATCCCTGAATTTTATTTTTTGATGGGATAGGAACCCCTGAATTTATGGCACCTGAGCTATATGATGAGAACTACAACGAGTTGGTTGATATTTATTCCTTTGGCATGTGCATGCTGGAGATGGTGACTTTTGAGTATCCTTACAGCGAGTGTAGAAACTCAGCTCAGATATATAAGAAAGTTTCATCTGTGAGTTCTTTTTTCACTTTAGCTTGTAAATAGTTGTTAACCCTACGATAGCAATTATCTTACTCCTTCAAACTTTATAGGGAATAAAGCCTGCTGCCCTTTCTAGGGTTACTGATCAAGAGATGAAACTATTTATTGAGAAGTGTTTAGTTCCAGCACCTCAAAGATTATCAGCGAAGGAGCTTTTAATGGACCCCTTTCTGCAAGCAAATGGATCAGCAAAGAATCGTCCTTTGCCGCTCCCTGATATTGTTATGCCCAAAATGGGAGCCTTTGGAGATCGCTGCCTCATGTCAGAAGCACCTGCTTCCACAAAGAATAAACCATCCTCTGCAGATCTTGATAGTGACAGTGAGCTGCCTGTTATCAGATCTCTTGATAATTCCTTGGGCATGGAGGTTCAAAGGACAAACAAAGGCAACCTTTTCTTGTTAAAGGGCGAGGGAAATGATGAAAACTCTGTATCATTAATACTTCGAATAGCTGATCAGAATGGTAAAAAGATATTCCAAAGGAATTATCTCCACTCTCATTTACTCTCTTTACACTCTTACTTTTTTTTTCATTAAATTTTATTTTGTTTCTTTATGCAGGTCGTGTGAGAAATATTCATTTCCTCTTCTTCCTTGATAGTGATACTGCCCTCTCAGTTTCAAGTGAAATGGTTGAGCAACTGGAACTAGCGGATCAAAATGATGTGTTCATAGCTGAATTGATTGATTTGTTGTTGCTGAATCTAATTCCCAGTTGGAAACCTTGTGTTACAATTGATCATCTGATTCCTCCCAATAGAAGACAAAATTCAAGAGATAATCAGTACTTTAAGCCACAAGAAAATGGGGAGCCTTCCTCGGGGTCTTTCCATCACCCTTGTGAAGCTGATGATGTTACACGGTCAAAACTTTGTCCTGACGCTAAGACCTTAGGAGCATCTGATGAATCAAAAAGACAAGGTCCTTGTTCTGTGAAATTTAATGGAAAAATGTCTCATGCAAATTTCATGGCCGAAGATTCTGGTTCTGAGATGTCATATGTTTCTGCAAACTCTAATGAGTGGAATGATAAACTTAGCTCCATTCATTCCTTTATGTCTGCTGAATTAGGTCCTATGGGCAGTAATGGATATGGGTTAAGAGGATATGAAACCAAATTGTTCTCTGGATCTGAATTATCCCTTGATGGCAAGAATAAGTCTGTGAATCCAGTATCTTCTACTTCTGGTGGGGATGAAGATGAGGAGTTAAGATTGGAGCTGGAAATGATTGAGCTGCAGTATCAGGAAGCAATGAAAGAAATATCCAAGAGAAGACATGAAGCCATCATGGACACAAGAAGAAGATTGTCCCAGAAGAAGATGCAATCAGTTTACTAGTCCTTCTCCCTTAAATTTTTTTTTTTTTTGGGTAAATGGCCCTGCAAATGTACATATTTTATTATGGGCAGAGAATCATCTTTTTCCCCATTTTGCTGACTTACGAGTGGTAGGAAGAGAAAGTCAATTGAAAATAGAAGAACTCTCTCTTGAAGTTTGTTTTCATTTTGGTTAACCATAAAGAGATTAGAGTGAAATGACAAACATCACTGTTTGCACATGCATTTTTATCTCCTGCCCGTCTAACTACAACATTAGCGAGGAGTAGTGATTCAAGTTGATTCTGCTCTTTATACGGTGACGAATCCAAGTCTAAATTAAGACTTAAGCCGACCGTAAGTCTCATCACTCAGCTTACTAGTCCTTCATTTATATTAAAAAATTTTTATTTAAGAAATATAAGTTTCAAATATGATGGCAATAAGTATGAACGAGGTAGATTCGTCTTGAATCCAATATAATTTTATATTTATAATATTTGAATTAGATTTGATTCGATTTTTTTATTATTTTTTATATTTGATTTGATTTGATATTATAAAAAATTATTTTTAATTAAATTTAAAATTAATAAAATATTATTTTTTAATATAAATATAAAATTAAATAAATATAAAAAATATATATTAATATAAATTAAATAAATAATTAAAAAAATAATTTTATATATGTACCGGATAAAGTCAAAATAGATTTATTTAAAATTCAACTTCAAGTTTATTTTATAATTATCCAACTCAACCCAAAATCGAATTTAAAAAAAATTGACACTAAGAGATAAAGTTGAATCGAAATCAATCATAACGAATTAGATCGCCATCTTTAGTCTCAAATTCTCAATTATAGTAATATTTAGTTTAGAAAGAATTAAATAATAGTACACATAAAATGAAAATAGTAAATAACAAACCAAGTCCGTTCCAAAATCCGAATTGGGCCTCATTTGGGGCCTGGCCGGAGGTCAAAGTTTTGGCGGGAGATCCGGTTTTGGCGCCTAAAATTTTTAAAAAAGAAAACCAAAAGCATTCTATTCCCCTCGGACAAACCTTTCCTGACACAAACCCTAGAACCAAGATCCCCATTCACCATCAAACATGGCTCGCGGCGACGAGTCACAGATAAGCATGGCGAAGCGTGGGTACAGAAAAGCCAAAGAGGAAGGGAATAGGCAGGAAGAGGCAAGGTGGGCAAATGTAATTGGAGATATTCTGAAGAACCGAGGAGAGTATGTGGAAGCACTCAAGTGGTTTCGGATCGATTACGATGTTTCCAACAAGTATTTGCCTGAAAAACACTTGCTTCCCACTTGTCAGTCTCTTGGTGAGGTCTATCTCAGGTTAGAACACTACAAGGACGCCTTGATTTATCAGGTAATCTCTTTTTCCTTGTTATTTTTGTCGGTTAATTGTGTTGAGATGATGCAATCTTTTATGTTTTGTTGGTTTATCTGATGAGAATAGAAGTTTGGGTTTTTGGTTTTGATGCAAATTTCATTGAGATAAATGGGTTTTTGGTTGGCTGGGCAAAATTTCAACGGAACATTGGTCAAAAGAATTCAACTATGATCTGTTTGGGTAGAGAGAAAGTGCAGAAAACATAAGGGTAAATGTGGGGTTTAGTTGGTGACTTTGAATCTTCATTGTTTTAACGCAAATGACTAGTGGGCTAATTGCAATTAGATTTTCAATTACTCTGTAGATGGAAAATCTAAGACTACAAAAAGCAAGTATTTAGTTTTGGTGTTTCCAAGGGGATGGTCCAATAGTTAGAACTTGAGACTCCAACTTGAATGTGTTAGGTTCAAATCTTGAGGATGGGGTTGGAACTTAGGAGAGTTTTACTTGTACCTTCTATTTTATAGCCCAAAACCTTGTGCGTCTCCTATGCACCAATAAATAAAATTGTGTTTGGTGTATTTCTGATTGATAGGTAATTATTAAACATTTTTTATTGCAGAAAAAACATTTGGACCTTGCTAAGGATTCCAATGATCTTGTTGAGCAGCAAAGAGCCAGCACACAACTTGGGCGTACCTACCATGAAATTTTTCTAAAATCTGATGATGACCATTACTCAGCTCGGAATGCCAAAAAGTATTTCAAGTCTGCCATGAAACTTGCTCGGACTCTCAAGGAGAACCCCCCTAATAATAAGTCTTCTTTTCTAAAGGAGTATATTGATGCACACAATAATATAGGAATGCTTGAAATGGACCTTGATAACTTAGATGAAGCACTGAAATGTCTCACTAAAGGTTTGGAGATATGTGATGAAGAGGAAGTCATCGAGGATGATGATGCACGTAGTAGGCTTCATCACAATCTGGGAAATGTTTATATGGAGTTGAGGAGGTGGAACGAAGCTCATGAACACATTGAGAAAGACATAATGATTTGTAAGAGAATTGGGCACCGCCAAGGAGAGGCAAAAGGATACATTAATCTCGGTGAGTTGCATTACAGGGTTCAAAAGTATGATGAGGCTATACTTTGCTACCAAAAGGCACTTGATTTGGCAAAATCCATGGAAGATGAGGATGCTTTAGCAGCACAAATTGATCAAAATATTAAGACTGTAAAGGAAGCTATTAATGTGATAAATGAACTGAAACAAGAAGAGCAAAATCTCAAGAAGCTGAAAAGAAACATGGTTATTGCTAAAGGAACACCACATGAGCGTAAGCTTCTGCTACAGCAGAATTCATGTCTTGATCGTCTCATTGAGAAATCAGCTATGATCTTTGCATGGCTGAAGGTTAGTATGTGTTGCATATGAGTTTTTCTTGCTTTTGTTTCTTTTCAAACATAATTGCATTTTATCACACAAAACAGTTTTAGATAGCATCCAATTATTATCATTATTATTTGAAATGCCCATGATATCTGTGCATTTGACATAATTGCACAGAATTCTTGGTATGCGTTATGCTAGGCTATCAATAAGGTTTCAAGTTAAATGCTCTGCCGTATACTTTTTTTTTTTGCTCAAAAGCTTTTCTCCTAAGCTTGCTATGGCTAAATGTTGCATGTGGAAATGGGTTGGCAGTTTAATTCATCATATTTCAATGTTCCTTTTCATAGTTGAATGTAATTTGACAGCATGGGTGGGATTGCTTGTTGCTGTTTCTTTGACATCTTTTTCCCTTTTTATTGATATGCTGTTAAGGGTAAAGTGTATGTTAACACATACTATAACCAAAGAAAACTGACAGTACTGTTAAATAGATATTATGAATGCTTAATGAAATTAAATGGCTGCTCATTTTTTTCATACTTTTAGTTTTTGGCAAATTACTCTTTTGTTATACAAAGAGATTATTGTCTTGGAAATGAGAATGATTATTGTCTACTTTTAGAACGATTTGGTGCATGTATAAAAAAGGAACACAGCCGAAGAAAAGTATTCAGGGAATTTGAAGAATGAGCATCATCCAGAATCATTAGGCTCTCACGTTTTTTAGTGGATCATAAAAACATGGAGAAGTAGGAGAAAGAGAAATAACCTAGGCTGTCCAAAGTGATTCTTTGTATCATCAAACAGAAATTTCAATAAGGAAACTGGAAAAAGTTATTCTCTTTTCTGTCTGCAGAAACATGATTTTGTACAGGCTACTGATGCTCATTCCCAGAACTGTCATTCTGTGATTCAAGGAAGAAAAAGTTGGTTGACTTCTTGAAAGAGGACCAACATAACCTAGAATGAAGAGGACCTTAAACCAAAAGATGGATGAGTTTATTAAATTTATTTAGGTATATATAAGGAGTCTTAAATGGCTTCCACAGAGGAAGTAAACCATCTTATGTTTTTAATATACATCAAAGCTGATTGTTAGACCGTAGTCAGTGTTTTCATCTTGAAATCTCATTTTTGAGAGTTTGGAATTTTCATATTCGCTTCTGGATCACTTTCATTTATATTGGCAATATCTTTGCAGGATGTAAAATCTGCAAGTAATTTTCTGTATGTTGCCTTTAACTTGTATTGTAGGAGACGACTTCCATATTTTCTTGCATATTCAATAGTCTTGCTTATGTTTTGAAAATTTATGTTTAGCATCATGAATTCGCAAAAAGGAAGAAGCGTATAGCAAGTGAACTTTGTGATAAGGAAAACCTAAGTGATGCATTTTTGGTTGTTGGAGAATCATACCAGAAGCTCAGGGACTTCAGCAGAGCCATTAAATGGTACACAAAGAGTTGGGAAGGATTCAAGTCAATCGAAAATCTGGAGGTGAGCTTGGTATTAATTTTATGATCTATTGTTATATGACTCATTTTTTGTTGTTTTATAATTAAACTGAAGACAGTATTCTTTTATTATTATTATTTTTTATTTGCAAATGATTTGCGTTGCTTGGGATTCAGAGTTGGTGTTGGTCTTACTTTAGACTATTTGGTTCACGAATGTGTTTTAAGTTTGGAGGTGGATATATTATTGACTGTTGTTAGTTTCAGGGTCAAGCATTGTCAAAAATTAATATAGGTAATGTTTTGGATTGCAATGGTGACTGGACTGGAGCACTTGAAGCATTTAAAGAGGGATACAGGTCATTTCTGCTATTCTTTACTTTTTTAGGTACCATTTGGTGATTTTTTAAATTCTGTTTACTATTTGCTTTTCCAAAATTCTGGAATCAGCCTTGTTAAAAGTAATTTGGTGCAAAATTCTTTGAAATGGCAACTAACTTTTCGAAAAGTAGGAAGCAAACAATTTCTTATTTCCTCCTATTTGGGAGACAAAGGGAAATAGATCCTTCAATGAAGTCTTCCCTTTTAGCTCTCATGAATGCAAATTACAAGTGTTGGAGCGCCAATCCTTGCAATTTATGAATTATATGATAAAACTGACAGTGTGCTTCATGATAGGTAACTTAAGTATTTGTAGAATAATGACTAATCTATAATGAATTTGATATATAATGCATTTGAATTTGTTGGAAAAGGCATCCTGCCGATTACCTGTTTTATGTGAAACTGAGCATCTTCCTTCATATTATATCAAGTGTCCCGTGACCCTATCCTTAAATAATTGCTGCCATTGATTGGCTGCTAGAATTGCATATGTTTTGTGCCAGCTGATGACTCACTATGTCAATGGGCAGTTCATTTAAACACCACTATTATCGAAAAAATGCTAATTTAATAAGTGCAATCAAACGAAGCAACTATTGTTTCCTTCACAGTTATTGGATGCTTTTGTTTTTATTTTTAGTTGTTAATTGT